TCAATAAAATGCTGGTTAAAACAAGGAGTAAATATTTTTGTGTGGAAAGGTATTATAACTTGATTTTAGCGCGGCTCTGAAGTATACATTTTAACTTTCTAGATATTCCTGATTTCGTCATAGTCAAATAGTTTTGTAGTTCCTACTACAGCTCTCACACAGAACCTTTTATCATAAATATGATAGGAAGTACTTTGTTTCAGCCCGATGTTTGTTAGGTACAAAGGTAACTTAAGCATAATTATGCTGTCCACTATATGACAGAAAACATGATTATTACAATGTACATATAGGTTTTAACAAATAACTGACTTAAGTAGCTCAGCAAGAACCGTGAAATTCAACAATCACAACAAGATATAAATACGAACAAATCAGAAATAGAGTTTTGAGATTGCCATTGTTATACTTCCTTTTGGGTGGAAACACAAAAATGTTCCTCTAGTTAAGCCTCTGTAATCCTTGCGTCCTAATTTTCTCTGCTTGTCTCAATATTTTACGCTAAAAAGCATACCAAGCAACGGAACACGATAACAAAACATGCTGGATCACATTTGTTCTGGGGTTATCTGCACGCTCCCATATGATAGATATTAAGAAAGTTGGTAAACAGGTTAATTGGAAGACGTGTTTACTGAAATATATTTATATGCTATTTGGATGAAAATAGTGTTGGACACATTGTGATCATAACAGTTAAACGTGAAAATAACTACAAGCTGATTTATCTCATTAAAACCTTAGTAAGAAACAATACTAAGTAGTTAATATTTCATACTGATTTGTATAGGTTTTAGTGTAATATAGTACTGACTACTCGCAATACTTATTCACTTCTGTGGCATTTAAGTCTGATTTCAACATACGTTAAAAACATGCTGTGGCATTTTGTCAATCGGGCGTTAATGGTAAACTAGTTGGCCCGAATGTTAGAAATTTGGATATTAACATTTATTGTAAAGAAACTTGTGTATATCGGAGGCATTTAAGTTAGTGAAAATAAGACAATTTAAAGTATCTCATCACAAAAACAAATTTCAAATTGTTATACATGTTTCAAAAGATAGAAATACTAAAGTAACATTAGCACTGAATCAAATTGAGATTCCGCTAGCATCAAACTGCATTGAAGAAATGTTCACTCTCTGCTCCCATCGCCCTTTATTATCTACTGGATCAAGTGAAATATTCTCGATGGATCGTGTTTAAAATAATTTTGATGAAATATTACTTGTACATTATGAAAGTAGACCAATATGATGTAATGCAGAATTATATAGTCAAAAAAGAAGCATATTCTATGAAACTGACAATTCTGTGAGCAAAGCATTGAAAAAGGAATTAAAATAGGTTTGCTGATAATCTAACCTATGATCATTATGAACGAAATGAGTGTGTAGTTTGTCCAGCAGTGGTTAGTAGCAAAAGTCAGTATGCACTTTTCATCGTGGTTAGGAATTATCAAGGGGAAATATCTACTTCCCGATGAATTATGCTGTTCTCACTGACACATACATAGTAATCGCCGATTAAACACTCATCTTCGAAGTATCTATTCAAAAGAGCTTCCTCTTGTTCAACAAGTACAAATTATGATTGATTAATAACTTTCATCACCATTTGCCTTTTTTGACTTTAACTGATCAATGTCTTCCGACTTGTGGTTCTGGCGGATGGGTATTTTGATATTATGTCAAGTTTCATTTATGCGTGACTTACTTATTAATGACAAGCAGTGGATAAGCTTTGACATTTCAGGTGATAGATACTGGGTTTGATTACAAATGACAACACTAACACTCAATGATTTACAAGTAAATTTAGGTTACTAGTTCAAAATAGAATAAGGTATACGCCATAAATGTCATTGCGTAAGGCAATACTGAGAGATTTTTTGATGGACAACACTAATCTAAACAGTTCAGTAGAATGAACAGCGGAAATTTCCAACTGCAGACATTTAAAATGTTTATGTCTACAAATGAAACAATTATAGTGTACTCTTATGAAAACACATTCAGAATTCTGTAGGAGAAGTGAAATCTTCAGTATTTTTATTAAGAACAAATTAATTTACAGGAGTTTTGCTCAAGTTTCGAGAATGAACACTAGTTTCCGGTGGATAAGAAATAGTTTGCATTTGACTAATAAGGGATTCTGCTGTGGTCAGCTGGAATCGAACTCAAGTTTTTATCGATCATCAGATTACCGTTTTAATTAAGCTATCCACAGCTTATTCAATATGAAGTACAAATAGGTACTTCTACTTAAGTAACATAGTGGGACAGTGTGTATAGATTATTCTATAGTACTTGTTAGGTGTGCTGATTTGAAAGATTTTTACTGTAATGTTACTGTCAGGAGATAAAAAGCATAAAAGTGAACTATTTTATGAGAAATTCACTTACCATACATTGAAGTATAACTGACGATGCATCTAATGTTTGTAAAGGTCAGAAAAAACAGTTTTTTTCAGCTTATTTTCATGAAATCCTGTTATCTAATCGACTACTGATGCTTATTTCATTTTGCCGAAAAGAAAAGTACACTTTTTCACTTCGATACAGTCTCAGAGAATTCAGTAATCCTTCTTGTTAAACATGCATTGAATTAGGGGGCAATGATTTCAATTATTGAGCACATTCAGTTATTGAGTACTGTGTTATCCTCCAAGCTGGTTGGTTTAAGCTATGAAGCCGTCAATTCCACTCCAAACAGCGCCATCACAAGAAGAATTCAAAAAGAAGTGGGTTGTGAAGATTTCTAGACGAATGGTTTAGTAGTATGCCTTGTGTAGTAGACCCAAAGAATGTCAAGTAAACCAAAATAACAAACTACGTACAATTTACAAGAACGATGGATTTTATGATACACATGTACGAAAAGTTATACGTTATAGCATAAACAGTATTGTCAATGTTATAGATAATCACTGGTTACTTGGAGGTTATCTCTTCGGTATTGTCCACCACAATTTTAGGATACTCCAGAGATCAGAAGGCGATATTTGTTGTCTCTCCGCTGTGGTCGTCGGTCGGCTTGATTGTCGTAATATTTGGAAGTAGGATGAGAAGTCCTGTAAGCTCCCAAGACAATAAGTTATTATGCACGACAAGCAGTCGTCACGGAGGCAGAAGTCGGAATAGTTAGAAGCACATTATATTTCCACGATTAGCAGCAGCAAGAGATGCAATTACCGCCACAACTAAAAAAGTGCATATATAGACAACATTCGGTTTTACAAGTATTAGGAAGAATGTACAGAATGTGTAAAAGAAACGATGAAAAGGAAATATTGCTAATAGTTCAAGTGGTTTATACACAATTTTACGCAGTCTCCACTCCTGTTGATATCAGATGTGACCTGGTACAAAGATAATAATAATAATGGTCTCATACCAAACAACATGTGTGACAGTATGGAATTCTAAACATGCAATATTTCAACAAACACGCTTCCCGTACACTATTTTTAAAATAAATAAGCATAGCGTCTGAATAGTGTTAATGACTATGGTATTAAAGGCGATAATATGAAACGGGTAGCTGGTGTTACACTAACGTCTTGTCTTCACTTGGGGATGAAGACGAAATCGAGTATAATTTTGATGCTGGTAGTTCAGTTTAACAGTACAGAAATTTGCAGTTCGACATAGACATCCTCGAAATATTCCTGTGCTGTATTTCTGAGCACTTATCAGCCCATTTCCATCCGGCGTAATGTTTTTTCTTTGTTTCGTTCTTAGCTTGAGAAACAACAGTTTGAAAACCTTTTTGAAATGTGCTAGAGTATATGATACACTTAAAAGATATATTTTAAAGATTAAAACAAAATGAAAGGAAGGATTTGATGAAGTATATTCAGTGGAAAACATCTTTGCTAGCCCAAGGTGTAAGCAGGCCAGCTTTTTATTTATTTATTTCTTTGTTTGTTCTATTTTGATATTTTCTGTATACTGTCTCCACCAACCTGTCCTATTTCACTTGTTCGTTTACGGTTTTCAACAGCTACGAAAATATATTAGGTCAATTTTAAGACACCAATCGATGAACGACTGAACTTAACCTTAAAATCCTATGAATTTCTCGACATTCCTTGGTATTTCTTGCGTCAAGGTTTTTCTCATCACCCTAGTTGACTTATTGTGAATATTTATTGTTACAAGCCAAGATTTCCCGCTTCACTCACGTGTTCAGTGATGTTAATATTGACAAAAATGAATACGATGGTAATTCTAATCGCATTTACTGTGGTTATTCTTTTAGATCATGATAAGCTGGTCCTCTTTAGATACAACATGTTCTGGTTTATATAACATAAGGAGAAGGCATTGTGTTAGTTTGTGAGTTCCGATGTTTAAAGCAATTGGTCCCGAGTTTGAGTCCTAGTGGGAGCAATATCTCTCACTGCGAGGCAGGTACATTCAACTGACGAGTCTCAAATAGGGTGAAGCGTACGTCATAGATTCCACTGCTAGTCACTATCCCTTAATAGTATAAAACTAAAACAGGTAATATCGACGCAGCGCAGAAGCCCATATGCCACTAGAGACCGATCAATTCGGTTGACTCAGTGACGGGATAATACATGAGACAACATTAGAAGGCTTCAGAGTCTGTAGTTTCCTCTGTCTTCAGTTCAAGATTAAGAGGCTCTCTGTAAGAAATTACTAAATTTCCTGTAGAATGTATAGAATTATATTCAAGCAGAAAATGCACTCAATATTGTAGAAGTGTTTGAACGCATTCATTCAGTAAAAGTTATTTGTAAATGTCATGGTCGTGAATATTATTTGGAAATAATTTTCATAAATTGTAATCCAATATAATCTTAGTTGACGCAAAAAATTAGTAATACTGTGACAAGCTATCTAATCAATCAATTAAGCTTTTCCTGTCCACTATACACAGGAATTAATAGAATTTTGTCTGTAGTTATCGATCGACTACGTCATATTCAAAAGTTAAATTTATCTGATTGGTTCATATGCATTTCTAGCTCAGTATTCTATTATGAATGAATAAGAGAATGTAGGGCCTTAAAATATGAGTGCTATTTCGACCAATCTACTAATTACATGTCTGTACAATACTTGTCTTTATTCTCTGGCCTATAAACTCGGAAATATTTCTAAGGGGAATTACATGCTATGTTTTTTTCCTATAGATAGTTCTGGACAAACTTAATTCCATTAGAACAAAAGATTTCCAACTGTCCTGGATTATTGGAACACTGATCTTCTCTACCTTCTCATAAACTTATCTGATATTTACTCCATGTGTGAATAATTCAATTTGTGTAAAACATTGATATGTTCATATCATAATTGTCTGAATAAAAGGTACCACATTTCTTATCGTGGTAATTAAAAAAACAGAAAACTTTAGATCAAATGTCTTTATCGCACACCATGAAAAAGGATTTATGGTGTTTCTTTCTTATATTCATAATTTACGTTATCTACGGTAAGTAATTTGTGTGATCACTGGAATTTAAGTTGGTGACTATTTTAAAACTTTTAGTTCTATGAATATCTTTCTACTGATGTTGTTCATTTAGAGTGAAATTGCGTTGAAAATCGATGCTGTAAGAAAATGTCTAACCATGATTTCAATAACTGTTAATAATGTGCATGTGGCACGATTCAATACTTTTTTTCGGTATTCAGTCTGAGATGGACTACTCGGTAAAAACTAAGACTGGCAGATATAGAAATTGAACTGAAATGCACTAAACAGCCTTGCGCAGTAGGCAATGAGCCGCACGTTTTGTGTGAGGGCTGATGATACTATTACCTGGCTGCCCAAACTTTGGTAGACGAAGTGGGATTCGAACCCGTGACCCACTGTTTGCAAGATATCTTGTTAAACCAATGAGCCAAAACTATAGCTATTTGACTGAATACTAGTGTCTTTTTATGGTATTTCAGTTTGCACTTGTTCACTGAAAATCTCATTGGCTAGGAATGAATGAATCAATCCTGATAATGTTCTTTCAATGCTAAGAAAATTAGTGGACTGAAGAAAAAACAATCAGTTGCTACAATGTCTCATCTACGAAAGGTATAATTTAACCCTAGAAGATTATGAATTCGTCTCCTTGTTGTTGGTTGGTTATCCAACGAACATGCTGTGTATTTTTTAATGAGTCCGCTTTCAGAAACAAAGTTTGACTAGTAAGTTCATTTCTAATACTTTCTTCGTCACATATGAGATGGGCAAAATACGATATTCTAGAGTTCTGTACTTAGTAGTATTTGCATAAAATCTTATATACTTGCTCCTAGTCTCACCTGATGATCAACATGCAGAGAGGTTTCAGTGAAGAGGATGGTGGTCATCTGATAAAATAACTCCCACAAGGTGTTTACATAAGTTAATATGTTTGTGCATAACAGTTTCAATTATAAGGTTTAGCGGTACTACACCACTGGTTCTACTGACATTCTTCAAAGTTCTATGCAATATAGCATAGTCTTTTTTCAACAACCCTGGAAAGAATAAAGGAGACCAATAGAGGAGAACAAGCAAGATGCAGGAGTTTATAAAACACAAGATGAGAGGCTGCGTTATACCAGATACTCAAGTTAGGCAAGTTAGGCGGAAAACTCTTTTAGAAATCAGTAAGATATGGAAGGACCAGGTAAGGTCAGAAAAAAACAAGATAAATCACACTTGTAACATTCTCTGATGCCCAACTATCAGCAGGAAAGGAATCATGAGAACTAAGTAGTTTGCATAGGTTATTTTCGCGTTTGAAACTAAGGTAAATAGTGGGATATTTTCAGGAATTAAGCACTAGACCATTCACGGAGGACCACCATCTAACAGTAGATGGGAAGTAGTTTAGTTCGGAACAATATGTTGAATAGGAGACAAGTATGGAAATTTTCACGCCATCGGCACATTTTATAAAAGTGATACCAGCTGAAGATAGTACGTCATACAGAAAGAAAAAGACAGCGGGAAATCGCGGTATCTTGGAAACCACCAGTCACAGTAAGCAGTGAGGCGGAGCGCATCTCTATGTGCACAGTATATTGTTTCCTTTCAGAGAAATAGGAATGCAGACAGCTGATCATCTATTATTTATCCCGGCTATCTTTTCCATCTAAAGAAGTCTTGGGACAGAATGAAGTACTGAAGTACAATCGAAAAAGACACACCTCACGTGCTCGGGATTCCTATCAAGATTACAAGCAATATTGTGATAGACATAAGACAGTGATAAGATCCAGAGTGGCTCTGTTGCTTTTGTATGCAAAATGATTGCTGTATTTTATTATGGACCAAAGGAAAGGTGTGAAATTCGGCTGAGTATACTTTACTCAATAATTGTATTTGTTGATAAAAACAGCCTACTCAGAAGTCATTTTACAGTATTCTTTTATGACAATGTTTCAAGCTTTTTACAGGTTCATTGGTAATAGTTTCATACGGTTTCATTGTAAAGTAATAGTTAGTTAACAGTAAACTATACTCATCATTTTGTAGCTTAAATGCTTTTATGGTATTTCTGTAACTGGCTACAGATTATGGATATGCTATTTATCTGCGTAATCGGATCATTAGTAAATCTACTGAATTCGAAATAAAGACTGCCAGTTAAGAGGTAAAAAAATATCTCCTATTGTGGTTAGTTTAGCTGGTGACTCATAAATGCTGAAAATTGAGGACAAATGCAGTGACATTCAGGTAGTGCGGCATGTAGAAAGTCAGAACCATGCGACATTTTCGGTCAATATTGTTCAGTTTTTAGTTAAAGCCTGTCATCCAAATTATAACAGTTTACCTACCCATAAAGCAAACTCTTGAGAGCCATGAAGTCCTGTAGGTGATTCCAGATTGTGATAAACGCTATCCTTTTACAATCTTAACCCTCCAAGACCAACCACTATCTAAAATAAAAGCAGTGGGACTTTTGAAAACTAACCTCTTAGTCACTATTAAGCGAACAATAAAACTAAATATATGGAGGTGTAACGAAACCCAGTATGAAAGATTTTGTATGCTGCCATATTAACAGGATTCATTCAGAAGTGTTGGGAGACCTAGACTATTTCGTGACTTAAGACTAGCATTCAGCACTCCAGTTGATGAAGTTATATCGATATACCCTACTATTGGCTATTTTCCATCTGAACTGGGAAATGTAGACCGAATGAGTTTTTGCTTTTGCAAAAAAAATGAATGACGAGTGTGCAGGAGGGACATATGATGACTGACTAGAGCTTTAAAACTTTATAACGTTTCATGTATAAAGCATTTTTAATTCATTCAGATAACCTGGTCTGTCGTGGAGCTCATAATAGCGGGCATTAATGTACCTTGAAAAGTCTTAACCTCACACATTAGTTGGATGGTGTGATTAGTAAACTAAACATATCTGAAAAATGTGGCGGATAAGCACATTCAAATCACATTCTTACCTACCAGCTCCTTTCATCTGAAAAATGGAACGAGATCAAATAGTGAAACCACTCTAGCAAGAAGTTTTTAAACAGCTCTTATTAACAAAATGAAAACACAACTACGGGGCTGCGTTTAGAATCAGAACAAACCATTCTTTGGATACTGGAAAGCAGTCTCAAATGTAAGTATGACCAGAGCTTCCGTAAATCTAAGTATCTGCAACTAGCGTTTTCTATATAGAATTTTCAGAGCTTTTCGATGCGTCTATGACGTATTTGGTCATCAACTAAGACGACTGTACGTCATAAGCACACATCAAATTTGAGAATTCAGCTGTTCATATAGACGTTTAGATACGTGCTTCACCGTCCAGCTTGATACTCGTCTCTACCTACATACCTAAACAATCGGATGCTGTATGAAAAAAGGAAGGATGAAATTATGTTAATACTCTGTATTTTATTTCCTATAACCCAAACAGTTTTATGAAAAATGTTTCGATTAACTAAACTACAGACAAACATTTCGGACTGTGTTTGATATGTTAAGTGAACTTCAAGCTTTAATGATATCTGTCTCCTAAATTCATTCATTTTCGCTTGTCTTTTGTTGTTAAAATGGTGGAGAAAGCAGGGCATAACTTTTTAAATCCTGTTTAAAGAACATTCACATAAGATCACTTCCCGCCAGTGTAGAGAAATGTGTGGCTATTACGTCTTCAGTTGAACCTTCTGTTCTTCAGAGAAAAAGTATTTTCTTTTGGATCTGTTTCTCTTTTTGCTTATCCCACACAAGTTTGTGACTTGTTCATCTACTTACAACTCGAGAATCTTCTTGATCGACTGATCTCCTTCGTCTCAGTCTGTTCAGCTAGTAAGAGTTTGCCAAGAGCTAAATTAGCTGGTATTAATCAATGGTTATACAGTTAGAGAAAGGGACAAGGAAGCATGTTGAATTTGCGCCATTTCAAAGTTCCTATATAACATTGGGTTTCTTGAACCAATAAGGTGTCACTTGTCTTTATGATGATAAAATATGACAATAAAGACACTGTGTTTCTTATTCTTAGTGGTGCAAACAAATTTATGCGTTTGTTCCATAAAATCTTGTTCTTTTGAATTAGGTCTTTATACAACTAGTTTAATACTGTGTTGGGTTGTAGCTACAGTGATTGAGAATTGGATCAGTATGTGTTGACTTTCTGTACACTTTAATTTTCAATTTTCCGGCATTGCTTCTACTAATTAAAACATTCTGCATCGTGAGTTTGATATCGCTAAAAACGTTGGCGATCAAACTGTGAGTAATTTCTAATTCAACCTTTTTAATGACGACAAAAGTATTGTCCACATAACGAGTCCAAACTTTTGGTTGGATCATGGTAAGATGACAGCTTCCAGTTTCTGCATCACTGCGTCTACAACTAATCCAGGTTCTGGTGATCCCATCAGAGTCCCTTTCCTTTCTACGTACATCTTACTATTAAGTTAGAAGTATGTTACCAGATAAAGGTGAATGAGTTCCATCAAACTTCAGCAGTGAAGGTTTGTGCTTTTCGAAAGCCTTTTGTCTTCGGAGAGAAGGAAATATATGGTATACTTGGCCAGTGAGTGGTCCAAACGATGTGGATTAGACTGTTACATCGAAGGATACCATTAACTCTTCTTTTAGTATGTTAATACCTTTAATCCCTCCCAAAGTTTCCTTCAGGGAATTGGTGGAATATTCACGTGACTGCGAATGACATTTCTTTTTCCACAAAAGCTTCCCGGATAAACTGTAGATTGAGGTTCCCGGAATGGAAACTACTGTTAATTGAGAAATGTCCGGTTGGTGGATTTTTGATCTACCGTAAAACAGAAAAAACAGATTAATTTAATTTCATTCGCCAGTCATCTTCCGCCTTAATGAACTTGCTTATGGTTTTGGTGATCTGGTTTTCAAAAGTTTGGATAGGTTTATTTTCAAGTGGTCGATACACACTCTCATCTCTGAGTAAATCATGTGCTTACTTCATATAGTCTTCCTTATCGATGAACACAGTGGTGCGCCCC